ACCCGTTTCTTCGATCATCAGTTATAGATACTGTTTCCATGAGTTTTACGGGATAATTCTTGGTCGTCTTCGAATCAGCTCAAACATATTTTGCACTAATGGTTCTCCATCAGCTTTTCACTTGAAGAGCAGATCTCCAAAATTCGTTACATGTTGCTAGATGTCGGCCCTCTCGCAGGGTAAGATGTCCAGCCATGTGTTTGTAGGGATTCCATATTTCAAATAAACTAACCGGCAAGAAAACACAGCAGCATAGATTTGATTCTTATGCAATGAAAAACGTACGCAAAGAATTGGAAAAAATGTTGCAAAATACAAACAGATTGTGAACAAATCCCAAGATTGATTTTCTATTAATCTCGACGTTGTCCAATAATTCACTGCTTCCCTTGATGAGCAAACAGTGTTTGTTATTACAGCATTTAGTATTTCACAAAAGCTAACGTTTCGACCGCTTCGCCTTGTTCAGAGCCAGTTTATTGCTCTTAAGCCCTCCAGTATTTATTAGGACCAGTCGCTCAGAGTCTTACACGGGTGATAAAAGCTCTGTGCGGTTGAACTCCAATGATAACCGGAGGACATAAGAACAACAGAACGGCTCTGAAGGAGGCAAAACCGCCGAGATTATGAGCATTCGAGTTACTTTTCAAGCAACCTGTGTATTCTCAATGATACGCGCCTCGTTGTAGTTAGGAAGGTGTTTCTGGGTGCTTCAACTGCTGTGCTTCCATATCAAACAGTTTGGCTTTGAGGAATACGTCATAAAATTTTGAACATTTACTACGTAACGGCTATAAATTATAGAGAAGACTGCAGGTATGTAGACAAAAAATTGCAATTTCAAGCACGGAATAGAATTTGAGAATATGAATCCTTGATGGAAATTTTGCTTCAGAGTAGGATCAACGCTTCCCTTCGCGAAAGGCAGAGAGCCAAAGTTTTTCAATGAACCATCCACCAATATCGGCGGTGACTATAAACAGAGAAGTAGTGAGAAAATCAGTCTGAATAACTTATAATAGAATATTTTCTTTTGCGAGTTATAGCCATGTCTACTCCGTTGTGGTTGAATCCAAATTTAAAGAAATTCAGCCCAGATGAGAGCAGACAAACTACTTAAAAGAGGCACGAAATGAGTTTAACAGCAGGCCAAAAATAAGCTTTCTTTCAGGAAGGGTTGATTTCGCTTTTTAAGTTGATGTTGCCAGAGTAGAGTGCCGCTGTTCACCTATGGTAACAAAAATAGACCTACTTGAGACAAATTAATATTTATCACAGATTTTTTCCGGAATAAAGATTTACTAAAAGACCGTTTTCAGGTCGTAAAAGCAGTCCCTAAGTAGGCGGCTAAATGAAGCAATTTAAAATAGAAAGTGTTTATTCTTATGTGACCCAAGTCGAATTCAGTGGACAGAATTACGATATTGTATCGGTAGCATATTCACATATGTAATAAGAATAATGAAATAAGTTCTCTAAATATTTGCCACATAACAACTGAGGTTGCTCCTAATTGATGGATCTCATACGGTCTACAACAGAGGGTTCAGCTCAGTAATTGAAATGTAGGCCAAGCAGAAATGTTAGACTGTCCAATTGTGAACCTATCCCACAAATAACTGAAGCCGTGGAGGAAACAAAGTTGCAAGGTGGCTGACTTCCGTTCGATCCATAGCGATAGTGACAGTCTGTTATGACGCCGTAGGAAACACTGGACCCACATGACTTTTTTCTGAAGGTAGGTCATTCAAGCAGCATGTCGATAGTGCATGGGATCGATTAGAAAAGCTTAACATTCTCTCCTAGTTATGCGAAAAATTTTGTAACGTAGGACACAGTCGTCAAAGAAGTGGTAACCATCTGCATCGTAGGTGAATGAGGAGGTATTGAAAATGGAAGGAAACGGCTGAAAAATCTTCTCAAAATACAAAAAATTCCCAATAAAACACAAATATGATGGTTGATTCGAAAGACGATATATCTTAATGGATAAATACTTCAACGGTTGGGTCACGTTCTAAGTGACATAGAGGTGAAGCTCGTTGCATCATGAAAAAGCCACGATTGAAGTAAGCTGGTTTCGATGTAGAAGGTACTCCACCCAGTCTGAAGACTGGATAAGTCGGTTACTGTTGAAATAATAAGAGAATTACAACTTGCAGAACTACAGGGTTAAAAAACTATGCGATAGAAACTTAGGGAAAAAGGAAGTCAGCATTTGATCTTCAGTCGAGGAAGCCATGAATTTGAGAGGAAGTAGAGCTAAAGGAATCGCTGTTCCACCACTTCCACTGTTCCCATTTATCAATTCTGAAACCAGATTAGATGCCTTCCAAAAACAAGTAAGTTGTTCATTAGCTCTCCATATTCTTCAAACACAACTAGATTTATTCTTCACCAATGAGCACGAACATGAACTTTCTTCGTTAATCAAATCCTAGGACCACGGAAGAGAAATCACCGAAGCTGTGATCAAACTTCTCCATCAAGGTCCCCTATACAAATTATTTTTGAATGATTTAAAACCATGGTGACTGATCTCTATTTCTTTTCGAAGTGATTTTACTTGTACTTACTTTATTAGTCACTTCAAGTTTCATCTAAATGATTCATGAACGAGAATCATTGTCAACAGAACCAAAGTCGGAGTGGACACCTGAGGCTAAACATAGCGTGATGGAGTATACGCATACAGATGACAGTATCACAGAAGTGTTATTTTGAACTTAGTCGTTTCGTTTGCACAAAATTCCTGCAACGTGCTCATAAGCAGCTTTGTTCCAGCTCAATACTTTCAGTTATAGGGACATTTCGTCCACCAATTTAAGACGTTAGAGGAATTCTTAGATAAGGAAACAAGAAGTTGTAAATTGCCGCATTGCACAACTATATATTATTTACACTAGGATCTCTGACACTATATCCACGGAATTCGAAAACAACGATAAAAAGACAACATAGTGTCACGCGGTGGTGTATGTGTTAGAGGAAGCTTAAAATAATTGTACATAGCAAAAGAAGGAAGAATGGGTAGTTAAAACTATCGAAATAGTAACAAGGAAGGTGATTATTGTGTGCATAGACAAGTAGATGAGAGGATCCGAAATTTTAACGTAGGTCAACAAGAAGAAATCAGTGACGTTGAAGTACAGGTAAAGATGTCAAGGGATTAGATAGGACTGAACACATCTTCTTCTGAACGGCGATTGAGTTAAAATGAACACCATGCCCATAAAATGAATGCACTGGTTGGATGGTTAGACTGCTTAAGAAGGTCTTAAATGAAAGCCATTTTCCTATTTTGGCTTTTAAACCAGCAAACCCAGATGTACTAATCACAAACTAATAGGGGTTTAATGTCGTTTTCATCACTGGTTTGCTGCCTAATGACAGGAAGGACGAAGAAGGTAGTTGTAGGAAAAGCTGGCAAGCAGAAATTATTGCTGGAGGGTGCCAGAAGGTTTAATTAATAAATTAGCTACATCTATAAAGGTGGATTAGTAAGTTATATAACTCACAATTAGTATAAGCACCTTCGTCGCTGAGCTGTTGAAGAACAGAAGTTATTTGGGAAGTAACAAAACTGTTGGGAGATATAACTCGTATGAAATGCTGAGATATTTGCAAAACTCCGGACCACAGGTGTATGCAGTGGAGAACGAACATGCGCTGTTGTCCTTACCGGGGAGCAGCGCACTTCACCACTACACCATCCGGGTCCTTCGCTTTGCGTATATCTCAGCTACTTCTATCGATTTTTTTTGCCATCAGCAATCACCCGTCAACGGGGTTGATCTGGGGAGCTGATCTTTTGCAAATATCTCAGCATTTCATACGAGTTATATTTCGCAACATAACCTGCCTTTAAGAAGAAAAAAGGCAGTAAATAAAAGAGTTAAGACTGTTGGGAGAATCAAAAATTGTCGAAAAACCTTCCAGCTAAGTTACAAGTGTGTTTCTGTTCTTAAATTAACCCTCAGGATCTTTCTAAGTATCAAATGCTATGTTAATGGGCACAATTTCACATAAAATCACTTAAAGGGCCAAACAGTAGTAACATCATATTCAAAACATGGAATTAGTGCTATTCTCTATGAAACTTATCCGAATATTGCTCTGATCTCTCAGTAAAATTGCTCCTCTACGTCGACAATGACGCCCAACATTCGATTTCAAGTGTGCAGAAGAATTTAACCAGCAAAAAATACATGAACCTTAGCTCACCTTCCTATTGTGGTTGAGGAATTGTTCATTGGTGCTCACCTGTGTTTAATTGTTGTACATGTATATATGTATAACGAGGATCCATCTCCTAATATGGTCACCCGAGCTGTGAACGAAGTTAACATTTATTGAATGTGGAAGTTCAGAAGCTATTTGATGGGAGTTTCTAATAATCAACTTTTGGTCAATCTTTCAGCCAGAAGAAAAGTACAGAAGAGCATCATAACAAAGGAGTAATGTGCTTTCTATCCGTTTGAATGAGAAAAACCCAATCAGCAGATCTGCATCGCGAAGATGATAAAGCATACCGACGCCTAAGGTGCCCGATGACTACCACTACTGTAGGTTTTACTTTTTTAACTTGTTAAAGTTACACGACGTTGTCATAGAAGTTTCAATCGGTTGACGTCTGTTCGTCATCGCCTTCTTCAGAGCCGATTGATCGTTGTCGATTGTCCACAACTGTTTGCTCTCGTAATGTGGGCCTTCGTAATCATATCGAGTCGAATCCTTTGGTGCAGAGGACAGCTCGAAAGAAGAATTTCACTCGGCAGTGTTCCCTTAATAAAGACGGCTTTTGTTCTTTGTCCCCTGATAATGATAAGTACTCATCGAGGGATTTTACTTTGTTTATTTCGCAGTATTGTGCATTATATCAGCTAGCACTTACAAAATCATTACTTTTCAAAAAGCGACCGTCGTTTAACATCGACGTGGATAATTGATATACTACTTTTCTTACATTGTTTTACTTACACGAGGCTTTCGTAGATGTTTTATTCCGCTAACAATTTGAGGACGTTTAGGTTTTCTTCAGAGCCAGTTGACTCGAACAGGTTGGCAGAGCTCTTCGCCCTCGCGCTGTGGGTCTTTGTAGTTTTTTCGAGCAAACTGTTGTAAGTTATGCAAATGATAAAAAGAAGAAAAAGCATCGTTTTTGCACCGTAATTGCGAAAAAAATTACTTCGGTGAGATCATCATGGGTTGAACCCGACAACACAGTAGAGTAATAAAACAATGAAATGAGGAGTAACAGGAAGTAAACAAGATGAAATAGAATTGGTCCTCTTTGCGAACTCTTATTAAGCTCTCATTTAGTTTAATAGATCACTATTGACAAGCGAGTTGAACTAGTTAGTCTTTCAAAACATTTGTGCTTCTTTCTGAAGCAGCGTCCGAAAGCGTCATTGGTGCTCGTAATGGTGAGTCCGATGTTACGGCGACACGATAACAATTTAAGGTTGGCGCTCGGCTTTCGCGAATAAATTCCGAACTCTCTTCCATGTGGAATGATTGCGGAGCAGCTTTTCGTATCTCACCATTGCCTCGAGATGACTCCTTGGAAGATCGCTGTACGTAACGTTTCTGAAGCGATTTAGTCATTTGTTTAAAAAAACGGCTTTGAAATTTTCTTTTTGATTTTCATATAAGAAGAAAAGCACAGAGAGATGGAAAATAACAGAAATGATTTACTTTCACTTTGATGATTTCAGGGGTCAGTGGTGCAAGCTTGTTACTTATCGAGGCTTTGCGCTCAGAAGGTCGTCTAGATGACAGCACGTCAGTTTCACTACGTTGCTCAGAATGTCCTGAACTAGTTGAGGCACTGCAGCAAATCTATGGATGGTGCACTCGTCCTGAGAATGCTGTAATTTTAGCTCGTTACCAAATGAGACTGTATCCCTGAAAATTCACAAACCCATTCGTCGAAAACCACATAGAGCTTTAGATGCTTTCGAGCAGTTGAATAATATATAAAGCCATGGGTTCGCGCAGTAGTTTAGATTGCCGAGCATCGTAAACGTAAACACTTATCCTTGGATCTAGAATTGGAATAAATACACGAAAATCCTCTTCATAACGAAAATGGTGCTTCGAAACAGACCGAAAAACATTATATGCTAAACATGTGAGAGGAGCCGAGAAGAATAGAAAGTGAACTGAAATACACTACATCCTATGCACTTATTTTTCAGCTGTTTATTTCGCTACACAAAGTTTATTTTTGCTTCACTTCGTGCATTAAGTCGATAGTTTGTTCGAAACAGATGCTGAGGTGGGACTCGTTCACGAAAAGCTGCTCCATAGGCTTAATAATTTACAAAAATCCTTCTCTAAGGCGTTCATTGAAGAGTAATTTGACAAGTAATTGGCCGGAATTTTTGACTCCAATTTGCTATAAAGGGTGACGACTACCTTGAGAAATGGTTTGCTAAAAAAGCCATAGAAATACTTACTTGGATACATGGATGGCCTGCCCTCACGAATTGTGCGGAGCTCTGCACATTTTCCTTTCATTTCTTTGCCTAGCAATCGTCGCCCATGGTGATGGTTTGGTTCCTGCATGTTGACGGCTGCAAGCTTCACGCAGCGAACTGTAAGGCTACTGCAGGTCCGAGTACAGCCGTTTGACTTTAATTACGAAAACGTCTTATATGGTCGTCCTAAAAAGCAATTGAATTCTCGTCGAATTTACTCTACAGCTTTTCTCGTTCATATGGCGTCAGTTGTTCTCATTATATGACCTTCCCAATCCGGTTTCGATGTCGATGTGCGTTCTCCTAGGTCTCGAAGATAATATAGATTTAGAAGATCGGCACTTCACATTTCGGCTAGCTATTACCTGTGTCGGTTAAATTTCAGAAGACAACGTTTTAGCTCGTTGCCTACTGCGCAGTATTCCCCACGTGGCTGAAGTAACAGGATACGTGCTCACGAGCCTGCTGCTAACAGAGTGCTGTAAGGACTGTTAAATCGAAAAGGTGGAGCGGATTTTCGGGCACTTCAGTTGGTCCTTGTCTTCTTTGAAAAGCCCGAATCCGACCCAACTACTCTACTTCTTCTGACTAATTCCTCCTTCGTCACCCTGCCGAATCCCTTTTTCTATGAGTATGGTAAGAGGTCAGTGGAAAGCCTGTACTTTCGTAGTGTAGTTTCTTTAAGAGTCAAACAGAGTTGTTACGTAGGACGGGTCCACTCTTTTGGCGGACCAGCGCTGATAGGATTTCATTCGTTTCGACACTGTCAAACGCTTCTCTATAGTCGACAAAAGTTAGGACTACATTCACAGGGGTTTCTGGTGAACTTCGGTGATCCTGCACATAGTTTGGACGTAATCCATGCAGTGAAAACCTTGCGAAAGATCTTGTCTGCTCTGCTGATTGCGCCTCATCCAGTGTCCTCGATATGCGCGACAGAACAATTTTCGTAAATAACTTGTTGAGTACACTGAATAAGCATGCGCGGCGATAGTTACGAAAATCACTTTAGTAAACGCTCTTTGGCAAAATGACGTGCGAGATGTCTACCACTGATCTGGGAATTTTTTTTCTCGAAGATAAGATGCCAAATGGTCTGCTAGAAGTACAAGTAAACTGTGGCTTAAGGTTTTAAAGAAATTGGCGGTTATTATATCGGGTTCTGTTGGGTTCCAAACGTGTGGGTGTTTTCATGCTTTCTATAGGAACTCGGACCTGCGATGGAAGAGTTCCAGATGGTTTTTCCCTAGCGGGGATTTTAAGGTCAGGGACGAATATTGTGCAGCGAAAAAGGTTGGTGCAGAACTATTCCTTGTACCCATATTATGGCGGGATGTTTTAGTGATTCCTCCTTCGTTGATCAGGCCTTACACGGGAACATTATACTCGCACAGGTCCCAACGGCTTTTTTTGAGACAAGCTCCTTTTTAACGAATTTTTAAATTGATTCTTTTGCTTATACTGATGTAGATCTTCCTTAAAAACCTTTCCGCACCTGTCATATATTTACCAGCCATCTTAAGTGTGTAGCACTAGAATCAATCTTCGATTTCCTTCTTTTCACAAGTGCAATGCAATTTGTGGTAATGAAGAAGCGATCTGACCTCATTGCTTGGAAAACTGAGGACAATTCGGTGCAACCTCTAAGTTCTTCGACAAGTAGCTTGTAGTATTTAGTCGGATCTTCTTTAATATATCAGTCATGTTTAATTAGAACTTCGTTCAGAAGATTGTAATCAAATCAAACCGACTCTTTCTTCCTGGCTGATGACGTGAGTTCTTCCCCTGCCTATGGCCAAATTAAATCGTCGCTCGCGCAAAGAAGACTGTGATCAGTTCCAGTACAGAATGATGGGACCACCGATATGTAAAGGAGATACCACCTCCTGTTTGTCAGAATATGGCCAATCACAGGATGAGCTGCGCCGTTAGAAGTCCTGAAAGTCGGTTTCCATTCCCATTTTTTTCTTCGAGCCCAAATTTTCCAAACCTGTATTCGCCTTCGCTGGCCTTTCTTATTCCGTCGTTGAAGTCTGCGACAACGAATTTATAATAACCTTTGCCACTGTGGATAACTCCAATCAACTGGTAGTAGGACGCATTTAATTCCTATTCATCCGTTGCATCGTACGGTGAGTGGCAATTAATGATAGTGCTCTTCTCATGACGCGTTGCTTGGAGAGAAAGAACGACCTTGTGACGGGAAGCGCTTTCATTTGAGTCGATGAGATGGACAATGGATTGATGGACGACGAAGCCAACGACACCAGTATTTCGTCACGAGATCTTTCTTTCACAGATGACAAGAGTGCCGTTGTTTACTCTTCTTGCTTTATTTTACTTTTTATTGTAGAGCGATAATGCGAGAAGGTGAGCGCGTGTGGCGTGGCGACGTGGTCGGACGCACCCTGTGGTGCATATAGGATCGATCCTCGCATCTTTGGCGCCTAGTGAAGTCGAATACAAGGCACATCCCTCAGAGGTAAAATAACGCCGACAGTTCTAATGTTCCTTACTTGAACACTTGGTTGCTCCGTCCTCAATGGTTGCATAAACACCAGCATAATCTGCAATTTTTCGAATTTCTGGTTTAGCCAATGTGGTTTCCTGGAGTCCCGAGGTCAGCTAAGACAAAGCCTACCCCAGGTCGTCACCACCACAGGCAGTCGCAGCCCTTGTGGATCAGAGCGAGGTTACCCACCATGCGACTAGTTTGGCACAAGGACGGTGGTAGATCCTGATATTGGTTCACTCTTAGTTGGGCTTCCTGATAGAAACGCCGGACTCCTTCTCAGCTTGGTAGACCCTGCCGGGAAAATGGATCTTCCGCTGTATATCGCAGCCCGACACCCAGGAACAGGAACACCTCGCAGCCACGGCGAGGCTCTAAAACATTGGGAGGTCTAATCATTTTTAGGGCGATCATATGGAATTTGATGGGATTCGCGGTTCCAAGAACGGCTCGAAGATCGACGTCTGGAAAGAGTGTCCCAGCATTATTATTGCAGAGTAAGAGATCTCCACGGCATATCTTGTGTGCGTTCGTCAGACCCGGCTGCGGTAACTTCCTGCCTAAGGCGAGATTTCGTGGCCTCTTTCCGATCGCTTCACCACTAGCATCACTGACGAGATCATGCAGTGTACGGGGTACTAAGGCTGGCCTATTGGTGGTGAAAAATTTGGTCTTATCTGACGTCGTGACATAACCTTACAATTGTGTATCCTGGTCTTCACTACGATGTGAATCCAAGGAAAGTGTCCTTTCGGCAACAGTTCCTTCGTTCGGTCTTCCCAGAGTTGATTAGGACGCGATATTAAAACCAAGATCAAAAACGAAAGCAGAATGAAAACATGGCAATCGCTCAAAGACGATATCGGGACCAAAACAGAAATGGATAGCCCACTGAAGAATTAGACTCCATGTAATTTGCAAAGCGCTTTCCGAATACTGACAGCGATGTATTCCTATGACGCAGTAAAGTAAGCATGGTAAATGATAGTATGCATTTCATTTTATATCATTTGAGCGGTAGAAGAAATTTTTTTCTGCAATTCTTTTGTGTTTATTACTTTTCAAACACTAAAGTCACAAAGACAGACGACAAGTTGGTTCTAAAAAACAAGAAAGTCGGTGACTGAAAGGAAACTATACGTCTTAACGCACCATAAGATTCGGCGTCGAGCGTTATGTGTTAGGTGAGGAGTCGACGAGTTGAGAACTTTACACACTTTGTAGTAGAGAATCTGCTTTATCGCCTGAAGTGTGTGCATAATTTTTACACATGTCCTTACCAATTTTAAACTCGTGTAGAGTTGAATATGGATAAAACTCGGAGCCCCAGTTGAGCTTCGAACCCACGATTCTGCTTTTCTGATGCTCACCTGTTACCCACTACTGTGATTGTTTATAGCACCTTTAATTGTAAAACAGTGGGTTGAGAGAATGACAATTCAAAGATCTCGTCGGTGGAGTGGATAATACATGAGCCCACGGAAAGTGCAGCCGCGGATTCGAAGCTAACCTAGGCCTCCAAGTTTTGCTGATGTCACAGCGTCATTTTGGTTGATATTCACACAACTCCTTGCCAAGAAAAAAGTAATAGGCAGTAAATAAGAGCTAAATATTGTGACTTTCGACCACAATTTCAACTTAATTGGGTTCAATGCATATTTCTGCTCCAATTATCATTCCGATTGGCGGGTGATTGCTGGTACACAGTTAGGGTGAACTGGCTGAAAGAAAGGTACAGCAAAGACCTCGTTCGTGCTCTGAATAACACGTGAGCCCGTGGAAAGGGTTTGCTGGTCCGAAGTTCATCTTAGTTAAATACTTGAATGGCCCCTCCTCCTTGGCTGTGTGGGCTGCAGCATAATCTCCATTTTTCGGAGTGCCTAAAGCATAGTGGTTCCCTGGAATCCTAAGGTCAGTCTGGCCAAGGTCTCCCCTAGGCCTTCACTACCACAGACACTTGTGGATCAGAAGGAGGTTACCCGCCATACGACTTCGATACCAGGGCGGTGGTGGATCCTGGCATTGGTTTACTCTCACCTAAGCTTCCTAATAAAAGCACCGGACTCCTTCTCAGCTTGGAAGACCCTGCTAAGGACGAATCCTCCGCTGTACATCGCAACTCGACACCCAGAAACACTTCCCAGCCACGATGAGGCGGTGAACCGTTGGGAGGCTGAAGTTCGCCAAGAGTTCGAGAAGAAAATCACTTAATGTAAGCATAAATTCGTAAACGCTATGTTCTTTATGAACTAATTCACGTTGTGTTAATGTTGGAAGCGATCATTATTTTTCCACCATTTGACTCTTTCTTCCTCACAACGGGTTACCGCCTAATCGTAGTTTGAATGTGTTCCTGGGTGTCGGGATGCGATGTACAGCGTGGAGATTCATCTCCCAGCAGGGTCTCCCAAAATGAGAAGAGAGCCAGTGTTTCCATCAGAAACTCAGCTAAGAGAACCAATACCAGAATCGACCACAGTTTTGATACCAAACTAGTCACATTGTAGCAAATCTCCTCTGATCCAAAAGACTTGCGAATGCCTGTGGTGGTGACGACCTGTGGCAGACTTTGGTTACGCTGACCTTGAGACACTGTGAAGCCACAGTGGCTAAACCAGCAAAATTCCAAAAAAATGAAAATTAAACTGAGGCCCGCACAACCAGTGAAGACGGCTCATCAGAGTATCCAAGTAAGCATGACTCCTTTAGAGGTCATGACATCGCATAGTTTTTAAGGAACTTCTCTTCTAACAAGTTTTCTACCCCTATGAATTTTTTATAGAAGAATATTTTATAGAAAAAGTCACACTTAACACGGTAAGCTTGAAAGCCTGGATCATGTTCACAAGGCAGAATGGCATCCACAAGAAGAAATTGTTGGCAATAATAGTCATTGTCAGTCGCACTAAATTGCATAGATTTCAGTATTCCTGCGTTTTGTTTATTTTCAATGCCATTTTTTCTGAAATGTGAAGTTTTTTTGAGCAGATTTCAATTTCTTTCCTATTAGATGTTATAGATCTGAAATACGGTCGTATAGTTGAAAAAAGTGTGTTCGGATAAGTATCGCTCTACAATGGAGTCAAATTTACGAGCAATCAAATGCCACGTCATCGTTTCTGACCGACCGAAAAGTTTTAAGGTTAATCATGATATTTAAATCTATTTCAAAACTTCCATAAAGTGTTCTCAATAAAGATAAAAATATGCACTGTTGGACAGCAATTTAGTTCTGATCTTTCGATGTCGGAACAAATTAATATAGAGATGATTCCTGCAAGATGATTTTTTTCCACCTTTCATTAATTCTCGAACTTCCAGTTTTGTTATTTGCTACTAGTGTACTAATATAACTGGAAAGGAAATGTAACACAACCACAACAATGCTGAGATATCAGAAAACTCGAAACCTCAGTTGGGATTCGAACCCGACTCTTACCGGCGGTCAGCTTAATTAGGCTTAAAGATGGTTTGTATTCCCCAGACTATTTTCATAAATGCGTGGCTGCTGATGGTAGCGATTGGGTATAAGCGCAGCTGAAAGTAAAGCAAAGCAAGTTCCTCGATTGGTGCGGTGGATAACATGTGAACTCACGGTAAGCATTAATCCCCGGTTCGAAACCCTAATGAGATTCCTACTTTTGCTAGCAATTCGGGATTCCTGTGATTGTATTTCACACAGTAAGTTTTTATGAAAAAGGAAAGGCTGTAGAAAGGAGTTAGGAAAATGTAATATTTGCCGTGAAAAGGCTTGAATGAGCAGTCGTGTCCAGAAATAAATTCGTTCGAAAACCTGTTTGTACGCCCTTTAGATCGTACTGTATTTTGTCGACGATGACCGTGTGATTTCTTCCTCATTCGATTAATGTAGTCTTGTGTGACATCACTAAAAAATGATTTTATTCGTCATCTATAAAAATATACAACATACATGTAATTTAGATTTGTAAAAGGATGTAGATAAGGACAATAAGATTCCTTATAAATTTTTGGACTGACGTTCTGACAATCTATACGGCAGTCACTCCTGGAGTGGTGCTGATATATATCAGCCTTCTGAACATAATAGGCAACCTGGAATTTTTAGGCATCGCGATGCTCGTCGATAGTCCTACTGTCCTTAGCCATTAATAAATACTGATTCACATAACAATTTTCGGCACAGAATTAGAGAACAATGACGCGTAAGTGCCTTGTTGTAGCACATGAATATCACAATGAACGAAATTGACGTCAAGGAGACGGAGAATGCATTGACCTCATCACTAAATTCATTGCATAAGATTATGTAAATGAACAAGATTGTAGCATCATAGATAAGCGTGGAAAGTTAGCCACTTTTCATTGTTTGTTCAGCAGGGACACCGATCATACTGGTTACGTTACTAAGTTATTAATTTCAGATCGATGAACTTAAAGAAGTCTACCTCAATACCAGAAAAACCAATGCTAGTAGAGCAGCTTCCATCGGTGATGCCCACAAGAAATGACCTCCGGTAGCCTTATCGTAATGTTCAAGGGCCCAAAGTTTAGTAACACATTGGTCGCTTGAGGCGTGCATATCGTATGGGGCAACATGGTGGTGCTATGAACGTTCGTGACATTAATAAATAATGAACCTCAAGATTTTTTGACCTAATAGTAAAGATGATAGATACAGGTTTTACACGCGATATATGTAACATCTCGATATGTGGTTATTCCCAGGACCGACTTTCTATTATTCCGAAATATTTTATTCTAAGTACTTCCCCTGAAATGCTTGTATATGTCAGCGTGGGCTTAAATAATGGCATGTGTGCATGTGTGCATGAATGTAGGTAAAAATATAAGTTCCCGGTTATGAAAGTATTTATATATGCCCATGTATGCAGGCGTAGAAAGATGAAGCGTTCGGCGCTGATCAATCTTTGAGCGATGTGCAATGCATTCGACTCCAATCGTCGCATGGTAGAAGTCCTTGAATGCATATCTAACCTACACAATGACTTGCAGGAATCTCCGTAGATGTTAACATGTTGTTCTATCCTCTTAGATAAGCTTAGCCCCAATTTGCAGTACCCGACGAGGACGGTATGACTTGCCTTTCAGTGAGATCGAACTAGCGGCCCTGCGTGTTTTGTAGAAAGCCTCTAAACGTCGAGCAAATACATACGTATACATGTAAATATTATTTCTTTTATTTTATATGACCCATCTTCACATCTACTGTGTTAGTCCCAGCACATCTCACTTTCGATTCGTTCCCTCGTATCCATCATCCACGAAGGTCTTCCAACTTTTACATGTGGCTTCGGTTGCTGCTTAAGGATTTTTATTTCATCTTGAACGTCGCAAAATGCTGGTGGAGTCCATTCTATCTGGAATCCCGAGATAGTCGGGTTGGAGCTTCCCCAGTTGGATCGCAGAGAATGATCTCTTACAGGACAATCTCCGGTACCAATCTCCTAAACTAGTAGGATGATAGGCTAGGTGTGCGCGCCTGGCGATCGAACAAGGGACGTACTTGTGATGATCGGAAACACTATCACTGTGCTACCTACCCGCTATCTCTATATGTATATATTTATATGTATAGTATATGTACGTGCAAATCCTACCTCTTTTTTAACTTCAAGTTATTTATTAGTTGATGTGGTTGTGATTTCGATCGAGACATCCAAACGGCTTTACACACACAGTAGTAGAAAAACGCAGCAAATATAGATGGCAGTAGCCATGCTGCAAGAGTTTTAAAGCACCGAATGTTTTCGCTACATAGACTTTTTTGCTGTATCTTTTGTATGTTCCGCTTGGCTAATGTTTGGTGTTATAAGGACGATGCCATCAGCAAAGCTAAGATAGTTTAACAGTCAACCGTCGATTTTCACTCCCATATTATCCCATTCCAATGTTCGCATGACGTTCTGGAGCGTCACGGTAAATAATTTTGGCGAGATGGTATCGCCTCGCCCAACTCCTCTTTTGACGTCAATGTTAATATCGTTGTAGAATGGTGATATATTGGTTGTGAAATTTTTGTACATCTCACGAAGAATCTTTATGTACTGAGTAGGAACTCCTTGACTATCACGGGCTTTCAAGACTGCTTCTATCTCAACTGAATCAAAGGCCTTCTCTAAATCGATGAAAGTGAGACAGAGCGGTCTTTTGTACTATTGCGATATTTCAATGAGTCTTGTTACCGTGTGAATGTGGTCCATCGTACTAAATCGTTTTCGACACCCTGTTTGCTCACACGGCAGTCCTTCGTCCAGTGTTCTGTCAATCCTGTTTAGGATGACTCGAGTGAGAAGTTTGTAGAAGACAGACAGCAAGCAGATTGCGCGATAGTTGCCTATATCGTGTAGGTCACCCTTCTTGAATTGAACAATAACATGGTCTTCCTGGTCTTCCATTGACTGGTGACATTCCATTCAGACAGGTAACGTGTGTAGAGCCGAGTCAGTATGTTTACGAGGACTGACGGAAGGTTCTTCAGGTGTTCTGATCTTATCCTATCCGGAGTCGGAGCTGATCGCTTTTTCAATGACAAAATGGCATGTCGGATTTCGGAAGGGAGAACTGGTGGTACAACATATTCATCCTCCTTTATTTCATATGACGTTCGCGGTTGCCTGCAGCTCGTGCGATTCCGCGCGGGCATATCAGCTCGAGAGTTGCTGGAGACAGACGTCTCTTGGTGGCTTTCGAACTCTCAGCTTTCATAATGCTAGCGTGAAGATGTTGAATGAGCCGATCCCATTCTTCGTCGATGTAATCGGTAACGGCATCTTGCCAAAAGCCTACTAATGAGTTGAATAAGTCCCAATTTGTATTGGTTTTGAGACTTCGTTTTTTTTTTTGAATTTAGCGGTTTTTTCTCCTTTCTGCGAGAAATGAAATCTTGCACGAAGGAGGCGGCGGTCTGATCCCGTGTAGAATTTTGAGACAACAGAGACATCGGTTAGGCAAAACCTTCAGTTTACTATGATGTGGTCTCTTTCGTTATGGTACACTCGATTGGGAGACTCCCACGTCCAGCGTTCAGGATGGGACTTCTGGAATTGCAAGTTACCATGGATGGTCTTGGTCGTCATGATAAACTCAGAGAGCCGCTCACCCTGCTGGTTCCATACTAATCTGTGGGTCCCAACGTGACGCTCTTCAGACGTTCTTCTTGGTCCACTCTTGGCGTTGAAATCGCCAGTGATAACCTTGAAGAATGTATGGCCTTCTCTGTAGAACTTCTCCAAGTTCACATAGAAGGCTTCCATTTCTTCTTCGTCATAGTTTGATGTCGGCTTGTAAAGGACGAAGATCGTCAAAGCCGGTATTGATCCACATCTTTTCAATCGTAAACATCCGATTCAGGTTGTTAGTTGTTCGAATGAATCGATGTTCATGGACAAACTCTTGTTGACGAGAACGCCGACGCCGCCGACTCGTCACGTCACGTTACTGTCGCAAGCTCCGAGAAACAGTTCTTCTCCGGTGTCACGGACGGCGTTGAATGGGTGGCGTCGTCTCGTCTCTACCAGGCCTATGATAACGTACCTTATCTTTCTCACTTGCATGATCAAGTCTTCTGTCGAGAACTCGGATGCAAGTGTACGTGAATTGTGGGCACAGATCGTCACCTTAGTACTTTGCGATCCAGGCAGCTTCCATTGCATATGAGCTTTTAGCCGCCTCTGCGTGTTCGTCCTACGCAACGCTGCCGAGTTGGAGCTCTTTCGGAGGTGAGGGTAATGGGAGTCGTTTATTCTACTCTTTTGCATTTTGATACCCATGTATATCTTGCTGGGCTCTGAACGTGGGTGCTGGATATACTCAAGGGTAACTTGCCAGTCTCTACCAGAGTGGACATAGCGCTTATTCGTTTGAGGCGACTCCTAACCGGCTCTCATATATTTCCCTGTATCTTGAATCAAGCTTTTGGACGAAATAACTCGTAGAATACAATCGCCATAAACTTGAACGCACTTACACGCGCGTGCATGGATATGCCTCGTAAATACAGAAAGTATGCGCCAACTCAGCGCTGCAGAAACAGGGAGTCTGTCTCCTGGATCTGCTTGCGTCTCAGGGAAGGAAAGGTCGCCTTTGGTCCACGATTAACCCCCTATCCGCCAACTAGGGACGCACCACGTAGCCTCGTGACCAACCCACTCGAGATCCCTCATATGAGCAGCCTACCTGGCCGTTTATATATTATAGTCAGAAATCACGCAACAGCCTCGCCACTGTATTTGTCCTCTCACATCTTCCAAGAATTCATGCGCACTGTACCTCATGATTTCTACATCTCTTACGTCCAGTACAACGCACAGTATCCAATTCTGCACTGTAGATACCCAATTACGAAAGAATTGGTGTCGTACTATTCCGTGGAAGTTCATTAGTTGCTATCGATTTATGCTTTGGCAGAAATGAAGTGCAAGTTAAACGGGACTTCATTTACGTTAAAATCGATTATCACTTCTCTTCTGAACTTAACCCGAAGTGCTACAGCTTACTACCATATTGTAGATGGCTATTTGCCACGCTAATTTAAAAATTTTTATTCTCTTTTCATGTATACACTATAGGTATAGGCATAACTATATCTGCTGGCTAGAGAGCTGATGACAAAACTAGCCTTAAACTATCACGAGTTAGTGGAAGTCGGATCATTGGTGAACATTCACTACTTTGATAAGTATGTATGAGATGGGATATAGTTCAACACCTCGATTTAGAAAATTCAAGATCCTTTTGAGAGAATCATACAATTGAGTTTCATTAAAACACAACGGTATAGTTGATGAAGACCTCAACAGCGTGGCTCCAACTTCTCCGTCATGGTTGCGAAAACATTTAGCCGAATAATAAAATAAACACGTTAATACTTACTTGGACACTTGGACGGCCCGTTCTCACTGGTTGTGCTGGCCCCAGCATAATCTCCATTTCTTGGAGCGTTGCTAGTTTAGCCATTGTGGTTCCCTGGATTCCCGAGATCAGCTTCGCCAAAGTCTGCCCCAGGTCGTCACCACCACAGGTAGTCGCAGCTCTTGTGGATCCGAGCGAGATTTGCCACTATGCGACTAAATTGATACCACGACAGCAGTGGATCATGGTATTGATTTACTCTTAACTGGGTTTCCTGGTGGAAACGCCGGATTCCTTCTCAGCTTTGGAGTCCTCGCCGTGGAAACGAATACCCCGCTCTACATCGCAGCCCGACACCCAGGAACACCTCCCGACCACGATGAGGTGGTAAACCGTTGGGAGGAAACATGCTGAAACGACCCCTTAATGAGCTGTGATTATGGCAAAGACCGTCGAAACATCAGCTATCGTGAAAAAATAACAAACATGTTTAAGTCATCAACAGCACAGCACATAGCTGTATCGTAACGTTTTTATTGATTCGTTCACAAAGGGAATAACACTCGTACATGCACAAAACCCTCAACTAAGTATTTAACATACGAAATGAGACGAATAAAGAAAAGGAATAAAGAAGCATCTCATATAGTACGAAATAAGTCTCAAAGATCTTCCACATATTTAGTCCTTTAGGAGAAATATTTACCCACTGCGTAGGAGAGAATGAATTTTAAAATGAAAGTTGAGTTTTTGTTTAATCTACGAGGCTCCAAAGTACCTGTTCATGGACACACGTCTACAGTAGGAGAGATAATAACTACTTTAGTATTAATGAGGCGTCATATCCTAGTTAAGTGCAAAAATAGAACATAGTGTAAAACAGATGGAATGTGGCATACTTTACACAGCAGATAACAAGCAACAAAACTTAGTTTAAAGATAATAACCACGGTTTCAATGAATGAGAAACTGCAAATACACCACATACGCAAGCATTCACTAGTAAGAATAAAAGCCCTGAAGGGGCAATTTTTAAAAACATTCAACTAGCAATATGATATCAGTAGCGGCGATTTTCGCGATGTTTTACTTTCAACAGGCTATCAGGTTCAAAATATACAGAGTTAACAAGTTTCGGCATTGAAAATGATCGTCCGAAGTTAAAGGCCGAGTGCTGTCTTTCTTCAGTGGAAGCTCCTGGTATAATGTATATTATATGTAGCACTTTTTCTCTTAGATTACACTTTTGGTGGTGCACTGAGCACTTCCATATCATCTTCATCGAAGCTTGACCGATTAGTCACAGTCGGCCGGTCCACAATCTCAACACTACCATTTTCGTCGTCACTTCCCTGCTTCTCCACAAACTCCGGCATACTTTCGGTGTCAGGTGACACATCCTTGTTCACAATCTCAGGAGTGCTCTCACTGTCACCAATCTCTCGTTTATCCATGATTTCCGGCGAACTTTCACTCCCAACACCTTCAGATTCAACAAGAACCTCATCTCCGTTAGTTGAGTGCCTTGCCAGAGTACGAAGTTCGGATGCGGTCTTATTTAACAGCACTTCTGGTCGGTCGAATTCCACCAACTGAAAAATGAATGGATAGACAAAACTTCTTGTCGTTTATATCAGTTACTTTTAGTTGAACACGATACCATACTAATGCATTGAGAATAAACATTATATAATATAATACACATATAATAAGACTATGTACCTTTCCGCCATCCATTATCAACACTCTATCCAAACCATAGATGTTTTCAAGACGATGAGCAATAACGATAACTGTCGCATCCAGGAAGACCTCTTTTATCACCTGAACAGCATAACCTGATTCGTAAAGTTAGAACAGCCAAATATTTGAAGCAAAAAAAAACCTTATGGATGAGCCTGTCCAGAGAAACATCGAGACTTGCTGTTGCTTCGTCTAGCAGAATAATTTTTGCTTCTCTAGAATAATAAAGTCATCCGGATTATTTTTCAAACAAACAGAACTTGCGTACAGCACATTAAAAATGCATGTCCACCTAATAATCTTAAAAATATTTGGTCTAAACCGTTCAATTTTATGGTCGATCTCTACCTATCAGTATGGAATAAATTTGAACGTATAGTACCATAACTTAGCTTTATCGTTAATTCCTCTGGATTATTTTTTCTATGTAGAATAAAATTCTGTATAGCATTAAACCAAGAACAAAAGTGAAACTATATGCTGCTAAAGCAACATAAAATGATAACGTAAGAAATAACATACGTTAGTAGCGCCCTGGTTAGACACAAGAGTTGCTTTTCTCCAACAGAAAAATTATCTCCACCTGTTGAAACCTCGTACTCAAGCTTATTTTCAAGATTCATGATCTGAAACGTGGAGAACGTTCAAAGAAGAAAACTACAAAAAGAACGTTTACAAATTAAAATACTTAACCACTCACCGCTGCTTTGAGATAAGTCCTTTCCAACGCTATCCATAACTCAGAATCGGAGAATACACTGTTAGGATCGAGATTGAAACGAATTGTACCGGCAAAAAGTGTGGGGTCCTGTGGAATCACGGACATCGCCCTGAAAAAACAATGAGATATTGATGTTGGTACTTCTCACTAAAATTGTAATCAGGACTCTAAAAATAATTCTTTATAAATACAAAGTGGATTAAATAGTCTTCCATTTAACTGGGAAATGAAGACACTACTTTCACCATGATATGCAAACAAACAAACTCACTTTCTCAGACGATGCAATCCTATAGTGGATATATCGACGCCGTCAATAAATATACGACCCCATGTGACTGGATATAATCGACACAAAACATTACACAAAGAAGATTTTCCTATAAGAAGAAGAATACCAGTACAAAACGAAGTTAAAGTTCTCCATGTTTAACACCTGGATTCGAATAAAGATGCAGACTCACCCGAACCAGTTCTTCCAATAATACCGACCTTCTCCTTTGACTTAATTTCAAACGTGACATTGTCAAGAGCTAACGGAAATTTTGGACGATAACGAAGTCTAAAGTGGCAAAAGTTCAAGTGAAACTAAATTTCTAGCTGTCATCAATGCTAAAAGGTAAAGAAAAAACTCTATTTTGGAAACATAGTTAATTCTAGCTTTAAAACCCGTATTGTTACAAAAAAGAGTGCAGACGTTTAAAAACTACACTTAAAAATATATGCAGAAAACAATCGAGTCAAACATTAAAATTAGGGGAAAAACAGTTCAATGGTAGTGATGTCGTTTAGCACGATCGCAGTGATGGTCCGACCCTGCACAGGGCCTGGGTTGAGACATTGGTACCAGACTTGTTTTAGACCAGCTCTCTCTCTTTCTCTCTAGACTACATGACAATGATCCATCACGGCCTTCTCAGGAATTTTCAGGAAGTAATTAAGTGCATACTTGACCTATATAATCAATTGCAATCGCTTATCAATCTGTAAAAGTAGTGCTGATATCCTATCACAGAAATCTTGTACCAATTTGCAGAACCCGTTGGAATGGGATGCTTCTTGAGCCTGGAGCGCAATATCGAATCAGCGATCGATCCAGCTTCTATTGAAGAACACCTTTAACCACCGCCACACAAGTCACCCTTATCCAGTATGCTTCCTAATGATTGAAGAGTTGCTATGTTGGTACAGTAATAGGTTACTTCAACGGCATTTGATAGCCTTGTGTATATTATACGTATATATATATGTGTATGTGTACATATATGAGAATGTGTATGTGTGTATATGTGTATATGTATGCATATATATGTGTGTATATGTGTATTTGTGTATACATATATATGTGTGTGTGCGTGTTTTTTTCGATACAAAGTCCAGAATTACCTTGCGGCGTAAATCAAGGTTCTTTGAAACATTTAGTTACGAATTAAATGTTGCAAATAAGAAATATACAGCTAAAAAAAATCTCTGGGAAAGAAAAGTATGAAAAGAGGCTGCTGAATATTTCTGTAATCCCTATCTCAATTTTTCAACGCATTTCATAGTGTTCCAAAACAACCACGCGATAGTTGGACCTTTCCTGAGCCCTCCAAGTCCCTCAAACCTCCGGGGTCGGGAATTTGATATCCGGAGTTGCTTCAACAGAGAAGTAAACTGATGCCTGATCACACTGCAAAACGTTTAACACGGCCAGTAATAAATGGCAGCTACAGAACAGTTTCCAGAATATCTACACTGGGACAGGCAGGCAGAAGAAACTACTGGAAGCAGTAGAGAAAAGAAACAGTCTAAAAAAATATCGTCGAAACTTGTATGGTCCTAATGGTCCGCTGCCAGCCATGATGAAGGAAAATGGAATCACTAAAACTTCCAACCATGGTAAGGAATTAATAACGGAAACTTTCTACACAAACCCCGCTTCACAATCCCCTTACCAGATCCAAAAATCCGCGCTGCGGAAAAACCACATGGAACTATTCCGTCGGAGGTTCCAGTTGGAATAGAAAGCATCAAAAGAGGCACAACTCCAAGATCTGACGATATTATTGTCCAGTTCGCTACAGCTAGAATCCACTATTGACGTGTACTTTTCGCAAACCATATGAAAACCTACCTTCAAAAGGAAAAGAACCCAGACCAGTGGAGGACGTTGCGTATGGTCAACCTTCCCAAGAAAGGTGACCGAAAGTACCTTCGTAACTACCGTCTGACATGCTTGTTGAGTGTACTCTAAAAGATTTTCACGAAAATTATCCTCTTGCGCATATCAAGGACATTGGATGAGGTGCAACTAGTGGAGCAAACAGGATTTCGACAGGAATTTTGCTGCATGGGCCACATCCAAACTGTCCAGAGTCATTCAAGTTTGTCGAGAATACCACCCGCCCCTAGTCCTAACTTTTGTCGACCATGAAGAAGGGTACGACAGTGTTTAAACGAATGAAATCCTATCAGCGCTCATCAACAAAGGAGTGTACCCGTCTTACATAAGAACTCCGTCTGACTGTTATAGGAACTGTACTACGAAAACACAGCTTTTCTATCGACCACTCACCATACCCATAGGAAAAGGAGATCGACACAATATAGCCAAAACTGTTTAGTGCCGCAGTGAAGTGGACAATGTAATCACTCGATTCGGATGAGAAAGGCATACGTATTGATGGACAATTCCTATCAAACTTTTGTTTCGCCAACGACATCGTCATCTTTTCATGAAAAACCCATGGTGCGAAGACGAAAAAATTGAAGATAGCTCTCTGACTGCAGAGACCACCATGTACATTTACCCTGACCGATCAATAAACATCGAAAACAACATGAAAGAGGAATTGGACAGAAGGAGAGCAGCTCCGACCACATTCGGCCCTCTGAAAGAAACCACAGACCAATTGAAGGACCTAAAAATCCGCGCTCGCCTTTTCGATTCAACTGAACTCCTAGCGCTCTGTTACGCTGCAGAGACGTAGGCTGATACTTCAACCACGTTAAGAATACTTGAACGATGTCATCTGAAATATAACCGGCACTCTCAATATGTAGCCCGACTGCGAAGCTCCGATCTTCGAAATCTGTCATATCTTCGGGATATAGGAGAATATACACCGATAACGAAATACAGATGGCCGAATAATGAGAAAAACGGACGACAGATAGACCAAGATAACTGTAGAGTGGGCTCCACGAGAATGCCGGCGTCCGCTAGGACGGCCTCCTACACGTTGAAAGGACGTGTTCGTAACCGAAGTTAATCGGCTGTACTCTCAGCTGCGTTTCCTTGACAGATCGTGGTATGAGACTCGCACGTGCCACCAAACTCACATAAAACCACCACCATGGACGACAACTGCGAAAGAAACGAATGGCAAATGTGCTGAGGTCAGCACAACTCGTTAAAACGGGCCGTCCAAGTATCCAAGTATGCAAAAGCGATGGGCAAAAATGTGGATGTAATAGTCGCGTACCTACATAAAGGGTGATGGAGAAAACGACTAAAGATAGCTACGCTTAAAAGCCTGTGTTTAATAAGGAGAAATCTCCCCTAAAAAAATCCAAATAGTATTTTAGCAAAGATTACTCTTCATTTTATTCATTTCTATCTACATACCACGCACTATTAGGTGCCTCTTATTCTATTTGTAGACAATTTCGCACATCTTTCTCATCCAGTGTATTATGGAATCAATTCATCGCAAAGTCTGTGGAGCGATCACAACACCTTCTTCACGTCTTTGCAACGCAACAGCCCCCAAAAGGCTCATTTTGGTTTCCTGCTAATCTTCATAATCTAGTACAATCGAATATGTGGGAACAGTGGCAGAAAAATAGCCACGTCCACCACAATGTCACTTGGATTTCGACGATCTGCAGAGACCGCAATCGCCATTTAACATCAACCTGCTCTTCTGCTAGATCCTCTCCACTCAGTGCTTTTTCAAGCTGCACTATAATAATGTTTACTGAGCCTCAGACACCTTCGTCAATAACATATTAACGTAACATGTGATCCCTTACATAACGGCTGCGCATTGTTGATCTTGCAACTGTCTTAAAACTTCCACGCTCTCCATAGGCACCATACAAAGACCGTTAACGAAACATCGATTCACTCTTTCTTCTTCTAACACTGCTGCGCATCCCTCTACATCGTTTTATGTATTTGTATGACGCATTGTTTACCCCGCGCAATACTTCACCACTTTGCAGAACATTCTCCCTGATTCCTAACGCAGCTCTTTCCTCACTATAGTAACTTTGCATAGTGACCAAAATAATACTTATACTAGTTCCCAGGATCGACTTTCTCTTAACCTCGGCATTGGAATATGAATGTGTCGTTTTCTTGTTCAGCAATCGCGAGGTTTTTAAACAGTATACATTTACTTCCATAAAAACACGATACAATACAACGCTAGCTGACGTTTCGGCAGTATCGCCTTCTTCAGAGCCGCTTTTTCGTGATGTATGCTGTTTAAAAACCTCGCGATTGCTGAACAAGAAATACTTATACTGTTTGTACGTACACTGATCCTGTTACGCTGTGAATGTTGCGTTAATTATCCAAAATTGAGGCTCACTCTGCGGCAAACAAGTCCCAGGAGCAATTTTTAAGAAATAGGGCATAATATATTGAAGTAATCTAGACATTGTTTCGCCCTATTTCATATTCTAATTAAACAGATGATAAAACTCGTATCAGAATCATATACTAAATTTCTAATAAGTCAATTCGGTAAAGGCGCTTGATAGGAAATCCAAGACTCACAGTCAAGTTACAGGTGAACGCATAGGTATGATCTTTGCTTTATGAATTGATAATTACTTCTAGAAGGGCATAAAACTGGACACTACGATTAAAAAGATACCGTTACCGTTCACATATTTTTTTCAGCATAATCGGACATTATGTATTATATCGATACCAGCATTTCCTAGTTACATTCTTTCCCTCCCATTCATCATCATTACTTAAGATCTTCAGATTTGTGTTTGAGTTTCGCTGCTTTTCTAGAAATTTTGGTCCTCTTTACGAACATCGTTGAATGCATCTCGAATCGATTCTCCCAGGAATCGTAGATTATACGTGCTAATGCGTTTCCATATCTTCTTCATAGGCAATCACCAGATCTCGTAGATTGCAGAGAGCGAACTATTACCAATGTCCCGAACCAAGAGGGATGAAAGGATTGATTACTGAATCTCACTTCTATCACTGTCCTACCTGAGTCCTTTACTACAGAAAAATATGAAAAGATAAGTGGTTCAAAATCGTTAGCTCACCCAAGCTCTGTCTGAAAATACCAAGGTACTCAAGCTTGTTTTCGACAACTGACGATAACTTATCGATCACTAGTGTATTTCAGGATTTTCGAACCTCATACATTTAATGAAGAGTCTTTTTCTATCACATATTTGATTTTTATACAGTGCCCTTCCAATTTGAACATTTTTAGCATTAGTCTCCAAAAAATTTAAGAAAATCGAAGCTTAATTTCTAAATGTCAACGAAATGTGGAGCAATGGTTAGAAGTGAAATGCACCATACACCCGCTTCCTGGTTCCATCTCGTGCCTACTGTTTAGCAAGCCCTCCTTTCCTCCAAGGTCGGTGAGTTAATGCCAAACTTGTTTGTGAGAATAGCAGCACTGATTTGATAGATCGGTAAGCTACCACAAACCGCAGTAGCCCTGATATGCATTCAGTCACTTCTAACGATACTCGACAAAATTAAATATATGGCCCATCCCTGACGGATTGATCAACATTGGGACCTTTACCGTTTGTCCCATATTAAACGAAATAGCGGGGCTTCCAAACATAAACGATTCACTGGAGAATACATGTGTAACATGTTGGACGAAATGCGTTCGTTTATTTGCTTTCGGGTTCAAAATATAAGTCTTGAATGCGTTGTTTTCTTGCTAAGTAATCGCAAAGTTGTTATACAGCATACATTTACTTCCATAGAAAGACACAATACAATACAATAGTAACTGATGTTTCGGTAGTATTGCCTTCTTCAGAGCCTGGAAGGGTATACTGATACACAATTTACTAGGCCAAACACTTCAATAACACTTAAAAAAAGACGGAAAACTCTATGGTAATTACATGATCAACAGCTTCTCGAAAAACTCATCGTTTTTTACGTGAAGAAGGCGATACTGCCGAAACGTCAGATACTGTTGTGTTGCATTGTGTTTTTCTATGGAAATAAATGTATGCTGTTTAAAAACCTCGTGATTGCTTAACAAGAAAACGACGCATTTATATTCTAATGCCGAGGTTACTAGAAAGTCGATCTTGGGAACTGTTATAAGCCTTGAAACAAAATTGCAAGCAATTATGGCATCGGTTCAAGATGATTAGATTTCCATAGCAGTGCGACAAGAAATTCGTTATCCTGCAGTCAAAGATTTGAAGATTCCAACAGTTTTTACCGCAACTGATAGAATTCACTACAAGGTAAGATAGGCTGACTTGAAGTCGAATGAACCATTATTTTCATATCGTGGGGCTCATACAAAGATTACATCCTCGCTTAAATGTTAAACTACAGTCTTTTCCAACTTGAAAATATGGGAAAAGAAAAAGGAAGGTAGAAAAATCGATTGGCATAAATTACCTATGCTCACTAAAATAAGATGTTCTAATTACTGAAACTATTACTAACAAATGCAAATCTTGTGGCTTCTCTACCATATAAGATACGTTTGTTTCCTTCTCAAGACTTCTATTCTACCAACAGATCACTATTACATTATAGAATGTTGCGTACGAAACAAGAATTTTGGAATTAAAGATAATAAGTCTTATAGGCGATCAGCTTTTTCTATGACTCAGAATTTCACTTGGCGAAAAAACAACCAATGTAGTAATAAATTGCTCTAGGTATACACTTAGATATAAAGTTAGACCCAAGCATGAAGAAAATCAATAAAACATTGGATAAAGTAGCAGTCCTCTCATTGTAAAATCATAAGAAAATCATTCGAAAAATGCGAAGAAATTAAATACTAAACATACTTTACACTGTGGAAATTGATCTGTCCATTCTGAGGCCATTCTTTTGGCACATCGACTCCTTTGGCAGTTTCCCATTCACCCTCTGGAGGAATATTCTGCAAGAGAAAAGCTTCAGTCAAGTGTTTCGAAAAAGGGAATCGCTAAGACATACTTCAGAATAATAAGCAACACGTTCAACTGATGTCATTTTCGCCTCCAGCTCTGTTTGCGTTCGAACGGCGAATTGAAAAATGCCACTCATCTGAAAGCATGACGTGTGACGACCATATAGTGAAATACATCATAGACTCTAGACATAATTTCAACTATATGATCCTATCAGATCAGTTCTGAAAAAAATTTCAGGTTTATGGATTCCTCGCGCACAAGCACAATTCTCTGCTGCTACTTTCTCGCTGGGTAGGATTATTTCTCCGAGATCCTGAGACAACAGTACTAGGCCTAAATGGTCACTACATGTAGTGCTAACGTTGTGAACTTAAGAAAAATAAAAAGGAAAAACATAGTATGACATGAAATTCACAACATAATCGTGCCCCTCGTTGTAAGCAAATTTCAAAACAGACCTATTGAAACGTTAAGTACGTAGGTCCTGACCTAACAAAAAGATTTAACTGGTAATTATTCTTATGTTCACGGCGGTCTTAGAATCAACCACAGAAATGAGGCACCACGTCGCTTACCAATTAGGAAATCTTACCGGTGAGTGAATTTGGATTTCATATCTATAGTGGAGCCTGTGATTTAGCAGACGTACAAATCACTGCTCCACTAGCACAAACAAATCTCTCATTACTTAGATAAAGAGAGATTTTAGCCAGCAACAAGTAGGAGTTGAACCAAACGAGGTTTTTAATGGTATCTGTTCAGTTCAAGGATATTAGAAACTATAAGATGGCAGCTACACTAACTATACTAAATTTTAACAAGCCTTTGACTACGATGAATGTTAACAATTGGATTCACAGCTTAATTGGAGCAGGTTTCGTTCTACCAAGATAAGGATATTGTAGTAAAATAGCTAGTGAAGAATGATATAAAAATTCGTAAGTCGTTCGACACATCTATAAGACATATTAGGTCGTTTAAAAATTAATGCACGATTTGAAACCTTAATTTTCTTGTACATGTTTTATCAATTGAAGTACTATTATTTATGAGTGCGAAGTTTCAAATGTATTTTATGCACTTCACCGCTGCACAAGTGAATTATAATACAAATAATTGAGTTGTAACAATAGTTGGACTTTCGACAAGCCTTACAAATTGGAAAACAGGAGGCAAAAACAACAATTTCAACAAATCTACTCCTACCAACTAAAATTCGATTGCAGTGCAGCGCAAAGGAGCGAAACATTAACGAGGCAAGAAAATGTTAACGAACGCGCAGTGAGATTCTAGTTTCAAAAGTTCCCTCGTGGGCAAAATAGACGTTCAGGATGCGGGAGGTTACGGGCATGCTTCTGCTATTCACGAAAACGAAATAAATGATTTGCTTTAAGTAAACACATCTTCAGAGGACCTATGGAATTCGGTGCAACCACTTCAGCTATTTTGTAGCATCTAAAGGAGATTTGAAAGCCGAAAAAGCTCAACAGATGGACATCGTATAGATTGGCAACAAGCCGCACTAACGAGTAGAACTTCAAGAACAAATTCATGTGCGAGAAATGCTCCAGAACTGTTGTATATAACTAAGATATGCAAAGCCTCCCATGTCCGATTCACAATGTTTATTCTCGGCTGAGATATTAAAGATAGAGGGTTGAAATCGTGCGTGAATTTCCAAAAAAAAACCTAATTAGTAAGAGTTAGATTTATATTTAGTATCGCTGAAGAACAACCTATAAAATATAAAGACGGATTTTGGCAGGTTTGAACGCACTTGTACAGCAAAGGCAAGCGCCATGCCAGCATCGGCCGGTGAAAGAGTACCGGTGAGAACTACAATAAAGAAAGCGACGATTGAGGTGATCATTACCACCAGCAGATCTAACCACACTGCTAACCACCTCATTGCAGACTGGAACATGAACACAGCACCGCTGTAATATAACACGTAGTGCACATTCGACATAATCCGTAAATAAGGGTGCTTTTCACTATATACCTGTTTGCATCCAAGTAATGCTTTAACGTTTCCATGAACCGCGTCGCTTGGCCATAGGAATGAATACAAGCCAAACCCTCAATAGTAGTAGTGATGTGGTCGAAAAGCGGCGACCGAGATATATTTTCGGATCGTTTTAAACTGCAAAATTTGTCACGTTACCGTGTCAAGGAGTTATTCAAAAAAAGAAAAGAAAACTCCGCATCGACCTGATTTTTTTTAAGATAAACAACATTACCCTTATATAATGGAGATCAAATAAACACTACTGCTAATTTTCAACTCTTTGGTAAGCTCCAGTGGCTATTCGAAGAACAACTTTAAAAAATCGGTCTACGAAAACAATATATTCATAAATTTAGCGACCTTCTGATTCCAGCACGGAAGCAAGTCACGAAAAGCAAAAATATGGCCATAAGTGGAACGCAAGCGACTAGAAACGCCGGAAACACCCATATAATGACTAGAAGATATCCAGTGCATGTGATCATGTTCTGCAGGAACACTTCAGCCGTGAACGGTAATTTCACATCAACTGAAAATGTGTACACATTAATTAGGTAGAAGCAACACTTACATTGAATAAAAACACTTTTTGAAGCCCGTTGTTGAGGAAATATTCACCGTTTATGAATATTGTTTGACGTATATTCTGAGTTCTGAACATAATAAAGAGCTATTGTAAAATTTGAACATTCAAGTTTTAAAGTGGAACTCATCCTCTGTGAGCTCAACGAGGATGGTATGTCTAGAACGAAAGGTCCATGTAACAACAGACCATCAAATTTGCACAAACTCTTCAACGTAATCAAGAACATGCTGTCATAATGTGACGAATGCCCCACCGAATTAATGACGCGCGGAGTGCTTGTTGAAAGTGAACTTCATGACGTTCCAAATCAAAAAGGAGTTGTTCAAGAAAACCACGACGTGGTTACCAGTGAGAGCCAATAATTCTATGAAGAAAAAAGTGACTTAAAGAGCCTTCCAGTGGAATAAAACCGAAAAACCGACTTATGCTTCGTACATCAAACCCAGAACCCATTAATAGAACACATTTTTCTAGTAACGAATGGATGGTTCCCGTATTAAAAAGCTTGAGAACATAGAAAAAAAGACATGAAAGAGGACCTGCATGGAAGACGAATGAACAGCATCACCCACTTTCAAGCTCTAAGAACTTACTAACAGACAAATGCATGCGCTCACCTGTTTAATCTAATTCCATAAAGCTATAGTTTAAGCCATATTTTTCTCAGCGTCTTGCTTTGCAGGCTGAGATGTCGATCACCTGCACTAACTGTGCAGTGCATTTTGCAATATGTTTTAATGTACATCTCCCACGTAAAATAGCAAGCTAAACTTCGTCATTCAATACTTTAATAAATACTCCGTTTTAACGAGACAGCTAAACTGAAGTAGAGGTGGTTGTGTTTGGCTTGGCAAATGGTGCAAATATCGCCAAGCATCTACAAAGAGTACGAACGTGACATCAGTTAACGTCAACCATGATGGCATCAGCTTGTAAAAACGTTTTGTACAACGTCCCAAAAGTTGACCTATCCGGTTAGCAAGGATTTCAGCATGACCAGATCAGTGAAGAAAGTGAGATTTACAAAATATTCTGAGCAAATGCTTCCATATAGGTGATAATAGGCTTCTAATGTGCTGCCTAATCCTTCCTTTGGCGCTAAACAACTACCAGAAAAAACGATAAGGAAACAAATGCTAATTTGTTGGTATTAGTCAACCAATGAACATATTCCTCTTAAATAGGAACACTCATCGATTGAAAGAGCATATGCACTAAGTAACCAGTTCCAACCAACGCCTCACAATTACATCGTAACGTGGTCTAGGAAAATGATATCATTTAACCAATGGTATACCGCACTGATATGGATAATACAGTAACCTTCAATGACGTAAACGAGCATCGTTCGTATCCAATTTTTGAACTGCAGACGATAAAGGTGCTTACTTATGCGATGAGAAAAGAACATAGAAGTGAATCGATCCCAATAAGACTGTGTGCACAAAAGCTCCTCACAGACTAAGACATCCCATAGACGCATAACGTCCCAAATGAGGAACCATACGGTAATCAAAATTTAATGTGAGCAACTTCTGAGGAACAAAGAATTGCAGTGGCGCAGTTATACACAAAGAAGCCGCTGCCCATCTGTTTCAAGGATGAATTCTCCTCACTTTGTGCATCGTTTCTATCATAAACGCGAAGATGCAAATTATGTTGATAATAGGACACATCACTCTCTGCATGATTTTGTTAAGATCAACTAAAACACTGGATATGCACTTCTGACGTGTTTGAGCACCATCTCATTAGTTATACTGCAGCTAGTGTTTCCCTTAAAAACCATTCATTGTAACCAAGCCCTTCGGACGGCAAACGCGAGTGAAACACGGGAGTAGAAGATAGGCTATCTCAGCACAAATTTATATAAGTACTCCATAGCTCTACTTTTTCACGCAGCAATTATGCAGTATAACTACACTGGTTTCTAATACCACTTCGAAGAAGACAGAACATCAACAGCCAGATATAAGAGAATTATAATAACGAGAATAAGATAGCATGAGCGCACAATACCAAACAATTGAATGAATAACATGGTTAAGTAAATAAAAGAAATGAAACAAAGAACTCACTTTCATCCATGTCCTTAGAAAACCTATTCAAAATACGACCGGTAGGAGTGGAGTCAAAAAAGCCAACCGTGCCTCGAATTACCGACGAAAACATCCCGTTATGAAGTCGACTAGCAGCGTTTAGCGAAACCTTCAAATAATACTCTTGGTATAACCACAATGTTGCTGAGATATTTGCAAAACTCTGGACCGCAGGTGTCTATGGTGGGGAACGAACGCGCTATTATCC